TGTTTTTAAACTTTAGGGCAGTATTTTTCTTCTGGATTGATGACTTTGTTTTTTGTATGGGGACTGGTATGTAAATCAAAGAAAAGCACAAATAAATAAAAAAACAACACCAGAAACAACAACGACAAAAAAATTATACATATGTCCTAAATGTATCTGAAAACTGTTTGAAACCCAAAAGTACTTTTTTTTTTTCCTGGATATTTTTGTTCGTGAGCATATGTAATAATGGCCATGACAGATTCATTAAGCAGAGAACTACTAAATTAGCTGCTTCACTGAGGTTCAGTGATTCTGAGTAACATATTAGTGATTCTGAGCAACATATTCAGTCATACATATACCAAAGACTAGATTTTTAAATATGTGCTGATGAAAATCTTCTAATACTGGTCTGCTGAAATCGTGTTTGAACTAGAGAAACCTTATGTGATAAGACTTTGTGCTGAAGTTTCAAATCCTCTGATAAGTGTCCCTGGCTGTACTTTTAAATATTTTTTCCCAAGCTGATTTATTACATAAACAAATTCCACATCAGAGATACACGTCGTTCAGCACTTGGGATGTGTTTTTTTCACTCTTGATTTATGAAAACACAAAGGCCCCCAAAATAAAAAGAGCTAATTTTAGTAGTGTGTTCCAAGTTATCAGGTTTCATCTTGATCAACTGTTCACTTGAGGACAGTGACACCAAGTGGCAGAGATGACAAACTCCTCCTTTCTTTCCCAGTTCTCAATTGCAGCTGAGTCCGTCTTTGACGCACAAAAAAAAATAGGGTTAACTGTGCTGCAGCTTCCAACTGCTTCATTTGTATGTTGCATTTATACAAGCTGTTCTGCTTAGCATAAAATTGGTACAAATTAAAAGAAGAGATTTCTGCTTTGTTTACAACATACCATTAAATTTCAGATCCATTCTGAAGACTGTCATGAAAAAGACTTTACTTCCATTCTTACCGTCTCTGCAGTGTTAAATTTTTCTTTTATCTTTTTTCCTTTATTTTTGCTGATACTGTAAGTGTCCTTTCATCTCAGCATAACTGTTGACTTTCCCATCTCGATTTTGAAAATCAATTTCTTCATCAACAATCAACATTTTAAAAGCATTAATAATTAAAAAACTAATTATAAAAATAAAGAACTGAGGATGTTCTGGTGTATATAAGGGGAATATAACTTGTTCTTCAATAAATATCAAAGACTTCCTAATTCTTATAGCTTTATTCTATTCCTTCATATTCCTCAGTTAAAAAAACAAACAAAAAAAAAACAAACAAAAAAACACGCTAACTCTAGAACAGTCATTACTTTTTCTACTTTTTTTTTCTTATTTTTTTCTTACATTTTTCAGTGCACATTACCACCATATAATAGTGAAAAAAAGTATTTAAACAAGGAATACCAAAGTTCTTTATCATGCCCACAACTCATCTGTACTTCACAATTTGCCTATTTCCATATAGGCAAGAAAGATTTTCCTGATCCAGACAGTGTAACTCCTTGCACTATGCTGAAGACAATCTTTGAAAGGCAATGCCAAAATATTTTCGTTTCAAAAATTACTCTGGAACTTTGGTTTTAATTCCTGCGCTGCAATGCAAAATGCTTTCAAGATGACCTACAACAGTGAAAAAAAAAATCTGAAGGACCGACTATTCAGTGGATAAGAAATTGGCTGGATGGCCACAGCCTGAGTGTGGTCAAGTCCAGGTGGAGGCTGGTGACAAGTGTTGTCTCTCCAGGGTCCATCTGAGGACCGATGCTGTTTAAGATCTTTATCAATGACATATACAGTGGAATCAAGTGCACCCTCAACAAGTTTGCGGGTGACACCAAGCTGAGTAGTGCAGTTGATACACCAGAAGGAAGAGATGTGATCCAAAGGGACCTAGACAAGCTGAGACCACGTGAAATGAATGAGGTTCAACAAATCCAAGAGCAAGGTGCTGCACCTGTGTCAGGGCATTCCCAGACATGAGCACACACTGGGAGAAGAGCTCATTGAGAGCAGCCCTGCAGAGAAGGACTTGGGGGTTCTGGTGGACAGAAAGCTCGACATGAGCCAGCAGTGTGTGCTTGCAGCCCAGAAGGCCACTGCATCCTGGGCTGCATCAACAGAGGGGTGGCCAGCAGAGTAAGAAAGGTGATTGTGTCCCTTTGCTCTGCCCTTGTGAGGCCCAACTTGGAGTACTGCGTTCAGGTCTGGGGCTCTCAATCATAAGAAAGACATGGAGCTGTTAAGGCAGGTCCAGAGGAGGGCCACAAACATGATTAGAGGGCTGAAGCACCTCTCCTGTGAAGAAAGGCTGAGAGAGCTGGGGATGTTCAGCCTAGAGAAGAGAAGGCTCTGGGGAGACCTCATATTGGCCTTCCAGTACTTGAAGGGGGCTTGTAAAGAAGATGGAGAGCAACATTTTATGCAGGCAGATAGTGGTAGGACAAGGGGGAATGGTTTTCAACTAAAAGAGGGGAGATTTAGATCAAATATTCAGAAGAAATTCTTCACCCAGAGGGTGGTGAGGCACTGGCACAGGCTGCCCACAGAAGCTGTGGGTGCCCCATCCCTGGAGGTGTTCAAGGCCAGGCTGGATGGGGCTTTGGGCAACCTGGCCTGGTGGGAGGTGTCCCTGCCCATGGCAGGGGGTTGAACTGGGTGGTCTTCCAAGGTCTCTTCCAACCCAAGCCATTCTATGATTCTGTGAAACCACGGAATGGGAAGCCTCTACTGCATGACAATTTGCAAGAAGTCCTGTCTTACCCCATTAAAATTTCTTCTATGTAATGAGATCTACATGTATATTTGACATACATGGCCATGTAAGATACCATTTAGTTTGAGTAAGGATACTCAATTCCCCTGAAGTATATAAATGAGACTACAATCACTGGAATAAAGAATTACTCAGAATGACTGGGGGTCTCAAAGTCCAGCCCATAAGGAATTGCTAAACTGAATTTTAGAAGAAGTGCCTTCATTGGAATTTCCAGATTAATTTTATCTTAACATATGTTAAGATACGTATGTATCGGACGTATGTTTATACAACTGATCTATGCTAGCTGTCTATGCCGAGTTTACAGTATATTAGAATTTTTTTCCACCTAAGATCTCACAATTGTTTACCTTTTTCTTAAAGCCCATCTAGCCTGTTTGAAGGATTCATGTCCTGAACTGCTGAGAGAATCAGTTAGACTTATTTTATACATTCTCATCAAACTTTTAACAGAATAGTACAGAATTAAATTGAACTATTTAAATACATTCATTCAAGTATGTACTTATGACTTAGTAGGATCAGTGCTCAAACAAAAGTGTCAAGCCAGAAGTTGAAGATATAAACACTGAACAATGGCTACATTGTTCTTGAAGATTAATTGCTCTTAAGAGGAAAGAAAAAAAAATCCCTGACCTGAAGGTGTTGATGTAGCTGAATTAAAAGGTAATGCTTTTTTACCTCCTACTACAAGATCCCTTTGGTCTCTAATCTCTATTGTTTGTGCTTTCAAAAGACAAAAGTTACATTGTTTTGACAAGACAGGTTTGAACATTTTTCATCAATGACAAAGGAAAAAAAGGTCTTCATTTGTAATTTGCCCTATGAGATTCCCTACAAAAATTAAAAAGAAGCATCCCTCTCTCTTCTGAGGAAGCACCACACACTAGTATAAAAGACAGTTCAGCATATTTGAACTACCTTCATCATATCTTCACTTGGAATCGCTCTTCTTCCTCCTCCTCATCATAGCTGGGTATTAAGACACTGAGATTAATGTTTAATGGCAGCGAATACAACAGATATTTTATTTTTTGTCAAGATTATGAAGGTTTTTGTAGACTTTTATCTCATGTATTTCAATTACTGACATGACCTTCTACTATAACTTTATATCAATAGAGACTTCAACAAAACAGTCTTTTTACAGTGTCACCCAAGTTTTTGGTGTCATACACCACTTTCTAACTTTTGTACTCTTTCATATAAGAAGGCTTCACAGATTTGAAGAGTTAGGTGTTTTTTAATCTCACAACCAATCATTTCTCCATCTATTTCCCCATTCTGAGTTCTTTCATATAATTTTTATTCTTCTTCTTCTTTAATTTGGGTTCTGTTTTATCACTCCTCCTCCATTTTTTTCTGTAATTTTCTGTCACTCTTCACCCTGAGTAGTGATTTGCACATTTTGCGGATCAGCACTCTTTCTCCAAATATTTGTTTGTAAAATGGGGATTCAGATCTAAGTCTCACATTTCAGGCTTCTATCATGTCATCAACACAGTCTTCTCCAGGTTTTGAAAACATAAGAAAGAGCCAAGTAATAATAATAGTAATAATAATTAAAAAAAAAGCAACAGAAAGACACCATGTTTATTATGATTACAAATCCAAAAGAACAGCCTTACAAAAATATATAGGATTCACACTTCCTAATTATAAACCTAAATCCTGGTAGTTTCATAGTCTGACAGGAACTTAAAAACCTTTCGAAATGTGGTTCACAGGATTTTTGTGCCCCCAAACCTACTCATGTATGTAACAAAACCCCCTTCTGTTATCAACAGTATTTAAAACAAAAGTATTCTCCATCCCCAGCTACTTGAGAAACAACTTGAATGCTGCCATGCGGAAAGCAGACATATAAAGGGATAAAAGAGAAAGGTGTGGCTTTATAAGAAATGTCACAGATAAGGCACATAAACACATGCTTGCATCAGGCACTGTTTGGAAGTCACAACTACGCCCTTGTTTTTTTTGCTTTTTTGCTCATGATTGCTTAGAATTTAACTTTGAAAGAAACATGATTTATAATTAAGCTAGCAAGAGTTTTATCTGAAGAAAATGCATTGCACTTCAAGATGTGAACCCAGGTAACTAAGCTAGGAAGTAGGCTATTTCTACTTCTACTTGGCTAAGCACTGGGAACAGCAGTGGGTTCTGGCTACTCAAACTGGAGGATCTAATAGGAATGCAGTAGCATCTACAGGCCACATAAGTACTTACATCCAAGCTTCCTTCACTTGTAGATGTAGAACTAAAAACATCCTCCTCACCATAATCTCTGTTCATCCTCAAGTGTTCTTCTGTCTGCAACAGAAATAAGTATCCTACACAGAAGTAGCAAAGCAAAGAAAACAGCAGAAACATGCCACAGCAAAGCACCAAACCTCATTATGGAACCAGGATGAATTGCTGCAGTAGCATTAGATCTGATTGCTGAGAAACACTGAAGTAGTCTGCAACATTTTTCTGATGTAGGCAAGGCCCCAAGAAATCTATTAACAGGAGCATATAAGAAAATAAAACCAGAACAATTCTAAGGCAAAGAAAACAGGTAGCAGCAAGCAGGTCCTGCAGCACCAAGGGCCAGGCTGTCATTCTCCTATACCTGCAGAGACAGGGTTGCAAGCACAGAGCTTCTTTTCCCCCCCATGTAAATGACAGGACTGCTTCAGATATCCCTCTCAAGCCTGGATCCCATGATCACCTGCAAAGGATCTCTGCACTGCTGTATCGCTTAGCAGTGCCAATTTAATCTTGATTTAGCCTCAGGCACGTGGCTACATTTCACATCAAAAAGATATGGGGTTCATGCCACCTTTATGTTTTTTATGCCAGCTCCAGGAGAACAGAGGGTAACTGATCCAGCATAAAATTAGAATAGACTGAAGATGATACCTTATCTGGCATTAAGCCTGTAAGCACAAAGTTAACCAAAGAAATACCTTCAATCAGTTTGTACCAAACATGAGAATAGGTTTCTGCTTTTATTCTGTGTCATGGTGTTTCTCAGACAGCAGAAAAAAAGTACTCTAAAAGCTAGCTCTAGTGTATTGTCATACCATGATTATTGCCTTCAGCGAGCTCAGAAAGCAAGTATGTGTGTGGGCATGGAAATCTGAGTGTGGGCCTATAGAGTGGAGTGACACTTGATCCCAGACAGCTTGCAACACAGGCTAGTGCTCTCTTCTTCCCTTGCAAAAGAAGTCGTCTTCCCTGTAAATGTATGCGACTCTACAGCACGCCCTGGGTTCAAGACTTTGGACAAGTCTTGCCAGTAACTAGTTCTAAAATAGAGACTACACACGGCCCCATGCGGTGATTCTGTCTTTGTGTGTGTATGCAAACGACGATGCAAACAAAAAGAAATTAAACAAGTAAGCAGAACCGACTGAAGTCTTGCAGAGGAGTAAAACTCTAAGGGAGTAACAATTAAAAACAGTTTTGGAAAAAACCTTCTGGGCCTGCGTGTGTGTGTTCTGAAACCACAGCACATCCCCCTATACAATCCCTTCATAAACTTATTAAATCATTTCTTAAAAGAAGTTAGTTTGCCCCCATTCTGCTAACTACATCTGTTCAGCAGTTTCACTGTTGTTTTGTCTAGAAATCTGCCATAATACTGAGCCAGATGTATTACGGCTACTTAACGCTTGCTCTTGTGTGCTGCACAATTCTTCAGTTTTCAGTAATTCTTCTCAATATTTGGGCTCAAATTGCTAGAGGTTCATACTGGAAAGGTAATGATGACTTCCTTGCAGGTCTAAATAAAACTGTTGTTTTAATCCCTCTTCCTATAGACTATTCAACATCTGAAAGTAAGAGTTCAATAAAGACATCATCATGAAAAGTCAATTACCTTGTCAACCAGCAAGACTTGTCTGACAGCAAGGCTTACACCTCCACTTCAGATTTACAAGTTGTTCCTCATACTTGTTTGAACAGTTCTTACTACCTACCAGGACAAACATTACTTGTACATTATTAATCGACCCTCCGTATCTTTAACACTTATTAAAATATATCTTTAAAAAAGCAACCTCAGAGTATGACCTCCTGTGTCTGACTTACAAGCATGAGAAAGAAGAGAGGGGGTGGTGTATAAAAGAATAAAGAGTTTGTAATCTCTAGGACACTCATCCCAAACTCAGCTGTGAAAAAAACACTGCAGTAACCACAGCACTGGCAGGCTTCAAAGCTGTTTTCCAGTGTTGTAAGTGAAATTATTCTATAAGCTAAATCTGAGCTGCTTCTGGAATTACAACTCCAAGAGCAGACACTTCATACCAAGGTTCAGTAAAATGGGAACAGAGGAACAACTTGAACACAGTAAACTTCATGCTGCAATACGTTCAGTTCCTCCAGAGCAGCTACAGCGCCATGGCATGCCCTAGAGGCTTGTGCTGAGCTCCTTTGCGATCTAGATTCTTCCAAGCAGATGCTGTATTATTACTCTAGTTATGCTTTTGTTCCCTGCTAAATGGGAAATAATTTCTTACAGAGGATAAACACACAAAACTGACTCACTTACTATCTCATAAAATACAGCTCTGATGCATCATCCTTCATAAAATGTTAAGAATAGATCAGCATCCATGTTTGACCAAATTTTTCAACATAGTGTCGATACAGTGTCCACACAAGAAGCCATTGCCTGATAAAAACACTCCAAATTTGATCATAATAAAAAGGGCTGAGAACTAATAAAAATTTTGGAAAGCTTATACAGTTTTAAAAATGTGACTGAAGAGACTGGAAAGGTTAAATGTAACACTGGTCCATCAAGGAAGCGTACGTTACTTAGTACCAGTTAACCTGATTTCACTGCAAAAGCCTTAGAAAGCTTTTAAAATAAGACAAAAGAAAAATGCTATTTTACTCTGACATTCTCAAGTAATAAATACTTTATAATCAAATCATTTGACACAGCAAATTATAGTGAAGGAAGTAAAAAGTGTGAAGTTAAAAGTGTAGTATGTTCTTGAGCTAGAAATTTTTACTATATTTAATTTCTGCAATGTGGCACATATTTTTCAAAAAGGCATCTCAATAAATTCTAAGATCTACAGAGAATGCATAAACATTATTTTCTAGTTTTCTCCTTATAAAGTCACCACCACATCTTCTTCTCTAATTGTTTAAAGTTATTTAAATTTAGCAACTCTAATTGTATCTTGAGTTTAGTTGAAGCAAGTTTTTATACAAACTTTCTTTTTTGAATTTTCTAACTCCAATTTAAAAACAAAGTTAAAAATGCCCAACATGCACCGCGGTGGACACTGATCCTTCAGTTTATTACTCCTTTTAGTACTGTGAGCTTTCTTCTACACCTAATTCACCAGTTTTACAGACTGGAGATGGCAATAACGCAAAAGTACAGATTACTGAAAATATAAATGCTTTAAAACAAAGTATCACACACACACACAAGAGTTAATAAGACACTTCTACTTGATATGTAGACTAATGTGTTCTATATTGCATCAGTTCCTTCATAAATGCTTTTTTTTTCCTCTTCAATCTGAGCGCTACTAATAAGTGGATATAAGTTGGTTAAAACTCCTGCCTTTTGTTGCTACCTCCTGAAGTAACAGCATTTTAAAAAAATAAAATTAAGTGGTTAATATGCCCAACTCCTTGAATTAGTAGCTGAAATCCCCATTAGACTGTACTGATTAACTGTAGTTTATGCATCTGCTAAAAGATGACTCCATGAGGAAAAAAAAAAAAAAAAAAAGCAGAACAAAACCAAATCAACAACAACAGACCCCATTGCCCAGAGACAAAATACCAAAATACATCTGGAAATAAATCAATTCTCTTTATCAAGGTAGTACATTGATAAACACTTACCTTGCTGTTGTTTCTATTAGCTTTGAAAAATCCCAGAAACCCTTTCTTTTCTTTTTCTACTGCATCACTGCTTAGCGAAACACTTCGACTTGGTTCTGAAACAATTACAATAGAAGATTTTTACATTTCTGCAATAAAGATCAGTATTTTAATACATTCTGGGTTAATGCTGTATTTTTATAAGCTGGCGATGTTATGAACTGCAGTATCTAGTAAATGTCAGATCCTGCGCTTTCTTTTTCATCAGACTTCTATTTGCACCAAGTTTGTTCCCATATCCAGTGAAGTGAAATGGAATAATAAAGTCATAAACTTAGTAAATTTTTGATCACAATTTAGTACTCCTCAGGATTGTCTGACCCCCTCGATCTCCCTACAACTTCCCCCTCATCAGCTCAGCTGGATGAGTGATGTGATAAGGTCATACCTTATGGGGAACAAACATTAGTTTGACATTTGATATACAGACTGTCAAACTCAATTTTATTTTATTTTTTTAAATGAACACTGCATAAAGCTAGAGAGATTTATTCTCTTTCAAGAACATCAGCATATCCCACTAGCACAAAGAGTTTAATGCAGAAAAGTTGCGTTCTCTTTTGAGTATTTACTTGTTTAATAACAATTAATAAAGCATACAAAATAACTTGTTTCTTGACATAAAAGTCTTCACATACACGCAAAAAAAAAAAGACAACTTTATCCCAGAACTTTGGTAAACTAACTTGCATTTCACACAAAGCACATGATTTTCACACAGGATCACTTGCACATCCATAACATAAGGTGTTAGAAGGTGTTATGCACATAGAGTAGTTCAAAGCACAATGGAAGGGTAGAGGTGTTGAACCCTGGGGAGAACAGGGAGAAACTATCCCTAAGAAAGACTGCAACTCCATTGCAAAAAAAATAAAATACCAGTAACACGTTAATACCTTCCTCAAATATGAAGCACTGCCTAAGCTCATTCACCAGAAACTTCTATTTTTCTACTCAGGGCTGGGCTGCACCTGGATGTGGATCGTGATTGCCTTGCTCAGCTAGTCTTTGACAATGACCAGTAACAATCAAAGGCTCGTGTAAGCCATGATAGTAACTGCTGATATCAACAGTTTGATGGAAATCTCAATGGAATTGGGATCTTAAGCACTCTCAAAACAACAAGCATATTTTTTTTCTGAAATAAGCACAGCAGCTATTCACTTTAGCATCATGCTCTGTATAAGAAGCCACAGCATGCAACGACTTAAGAAAAAAAGCACTGGCTTCGGTGAAGCCATGAGGGAACAGGCCATGAGTTAAGATTCACTCAATGTCTGTCACTGTTTGCTTCCTACCTGAAAAGTTATAGAAGTTATTCACTGTTTTATTTTGGTTATGTTGTATTTACTAGTAGCAATGCAAAGAAGTAACTAATCAATCATTCTTCTCTTGAGGATAATTAATTTAACTATAACAGATTTAGTGGAGGAAAAATATATTAAATATACACCTTTTCTGTATAACTGGAAGCAGAAGCACAAATGTCATCTAATCAAACCCTATTTAGCGTAGTAGTTCAGAAGTCAGCATCTACCCAGAGTTATCCAACATGCATGCATACGTTTAAGTTTGGTATTAAAATGCTTCATTACAAGTAAATTGGAATTAGTGGAAGATCTCATGGGTCTCAAAATACTTTGTCTCCACTACTATAAAAAGTTTCAATGGAGAAGACTTGAAATTTCAGTATTCCTGATATTCAGCTAATCATGTTTTAGGTAACAATAAAAGGCTTGGAATCTGCATAGAAGCATACTACGCCAGACAGTGGTTAAATGTCAGGATTTGTTAATTGTTGGTATTTTGATGGACAACAGTTAAATGACAAAATTTGTTAATTGTTGGCATTTTAGTGGCAATTACTGAATAAGCATTATGAGCATTATGCACATGTGTGCTGGTTCTGACGCAAAGCATGACCACGGGAACAACACGGTCCAAAAGACAACACAGACTGTGAAAATAGCTTTTTTCTTGACAGTGCTTTACACTAGGATGTTAAAGATCCAACTCCTAGAGCCACAACAAACAGCAGGAAGGGAAAGCTGACTTCCCCTCAGCATCATTGTACAGTACCTCTGTAGTTCAGAGAAGGTTCAGACTGAGTTTTTGATGGAGGAACTGGAAAAGGCAGGCAATGAAAGGACAAGAGAAGACATATTAAAGTTCTAGTATTGCCCAGTAAACCGCAGCATTATTCATTCATCACTCCTAATGTTTGTGTCCTAAGGACTGTGGAAACAAAACCTTATCTGACATCAGACATGCAGCGCTCCTACTAGAAGCTGCTTAGCTGAGAAAAAGTTTGTGTTTCTTGTCGGTTCACTAGGGAAGTTGCTTCAGCTGCTACACCAAATTGTGTTAGCAGGTGGCAGCAGAGATTGTCTTTCTATATTTTGGCTTCGGTATTTTTACTTCAGGGAAGGAGCACTTTTTTTTTTTTTCTAGAATCTGCTCTTATAAATGCAGCCTGTGCTTTCAGCACCTCTGGTGCCACACTCATTAGTGAGAATGTACTTTAAAAATCTGTCTGTTTTTCTGGTAATTAAATAGCCTGGACAACCTACTCCATGCACAATCCTTAGGCCAGATGCTTTTTGGAGCAATGGGGTTACTCTGCTGGAAGGTTACAGATGAGAATATGGGAGGAAGGAATTTGCTCGAACAAAGGGAACCTTTCGTAAATTTTATGTGTATTTACCGTTCTCATCAGGACCATAGTGCAGACTGAGAGGGATACAGAGAAGGCTGACATACATTCAAGAACAGGGGATACTATCAGAATGAAAGGTATACTAAAAGGTTCAAAATGAATTTTTTCTGATGCTGAGAGCAGCACCAAGTGTTACAGAATTTTCTGCTGTAATCTCAGGCCTGAAGTCAAGTCTTGTTTTTGACTGTACAAGATAATTGGATTCTTCAAACCTGGACTTGCAGACCTATATAGCACCTATATATAAGTGATCACTTTCATTTAAAACATAAAAATGTAAGGAAGGACTAGGTTAATTTTTCCGTAAGTTGTCCCTGAAGTATGCTGAACAAGTCCTGTTGAATACTATGCATTTTCAATATGTTGCTCCAAAATGCTTAGCTTAATTACAGTAAACATGTCTTTAAAGAAAAAAGAAAAACACTAAATTCAGTTATGACATGTTGTCAGCAACTTTTTGAGCATGCTGACAATTCAAAGGAAAAGGAGACATTTAGTTTACTTAAGAGTCTAAACTCATTGAAATTTGGCTCATATAGAGTTAGAACTGTCACTTACCACAGGAGTTTGAAAGGAGAGACAGAACGTCAACATAAATAAATAACCATATAAATAAAAAATAAGCCTGCTGCTCAGTGTATACAAGACTGACATTATCTAAACAATAAGTAAGGACGTCTACTGTGCTGGAAATGATACCAATTGAGACAAACTGCAGGAGACAGTTTTAATGAATATCACTTTCTGACCTCAAAGGAAGTAGCACTTGTCAGTATGTACTTTAAAGCATGTATACTTAAAAACACATGGCACAATTCTGCTACTTGAATACACAGGCTGATGAAACTCAAGCCCAAGAAGCTACTGCTACAACATCATCTATGAGAAAAGAAGAGGGGGGGAGAAATAACCAAGAGAACAAAATTTTAAATACAAATACCTCTCAGCTCCTCTTCACTAAATCGTCAGCAGCTTTGCTGTTTGGAGGAACCACCTCTGCACCTATCCACAGTCTGTTATCACAAGCCCCGCTCTGCTGCCTCTGCCTCTCCGCTTTCACGGCTGCCATGACTATGGCACGTCTCCTCTTTCTTTCTCTCTGACCCACAGCACAGGTCGGTGACGGGACCCCAGGTGACATGCGTGGTACCAACAGCAGCTCTGGGAGGTACAAAGCTCCTCCTTTTGCCCTGCCCTAAGCCAACGCGTGCTAGGGGCTAGCAAAGCCTGGTGCTGGCCCCAGAGCAGCTAGCAACAGCTGGGCACATCACTGACCTGGCTGCTACTCTCTGGGACTGAGGCCCCCAAAACGTCCTTCAGTTGCCCATAATACCATTGATACCTCATCTAACCCAGCAGCAACCGCTTTCAGCTGCAGCTCACCTCTTTTTCTGTCCCAGGCGTACAGCTCACTTATCCCCAGCTCCTCCAAGGACTTGGTAAGCTCCAGCTCCTCCCCAGTGATGCTGTCTCGCAGAAGAACGATGTGTTCCTGACTGACCTCGCACTTCTCGCAAATAGCCGGAATGATGTTGTGGAGAGGCACCTCCGGACTGACTCGAACCACTGCCTTCTGTGTCTTCAGGTAATTCACCACCAGCCTCACAGACTTCTGTAGAAACAAGCACAAACTCTCAGCCCTCCCTCTGTGATGGCCATGCATTCTTATAATGAGAAAGGTTTTCATTCAGAAAATGGAAAATGTATGAGGGACATCCGTATTGTTTTCATTCATTTTACACAAGCTTACCCCACATGCATATTTATTGCAAAACAAAACAAAACAAAAACCTATGAAAATAAACAAAAATTCTCAGAACACACCTATCATTAAGGAGAGAATCAGAAAAAACAGGCAAGTAAAGAAAAGGAATCAGATACTTTCTTTTTTTTTGCCAATGTTTACAAGAGCCACTCTGAAAAACATCGCAGTATAATTAGCTATCCTGGTCCAAGATAATGAAAATTCAACAAAGAAATATTTCAAAAATGGCTACTTCTCAATATTCACAATTCTGTGAAATACGTTTATTACTGATCAGTCTTCTCCCTTATCTTTAATAAAGATGGCAAACAAAATATTACCAAAGTTCCATCTACTTCCACACAATCCCATAACCCTCATGTTAACCACTATTGTCAATTTTCATCATTTAAGTCTTTGAACAAAGTTCTTTACAAGAGCAAATTTCCATCTAAACAACTGCATGCAACATAAAGTTGTAAATGCTGCAGTCCAGACTGGCAGCTGCCGATCTGCGTGCAAATCAGTTAACTTGTAGAAAAGGTTAGAGTCAATCTCAGGCCTCTCTCACCTGGTCTGAAGATGCAAAGATTGGAAAAGCTTGAAATGTTAAGAATGAAATGATGTCTCATGTCACTGTTTTAGTGCTACAGAGTACTGACCTCAGGGGCCCGTGGCAGAGGTCGCTTTATCTTCTCTTCAGGCACCTTCTCTTTCAGAAGTACTGTCTGTACGTCCAGTGCTCCTATCAAAGTGTTTGCCTTGTAACTCAGAGGTTGCTCAGTTCCCAAAGACTTCAGTTCAAGACTGTATTGGGATGGATTCAAATGATACCGGCTGCATAAATCAACCAACAGATCCATCACAGCTTTACTGTAGGGAAGAAGACATTCACTGTTAGCATGGAGAAAAAACAGTTCCTAAAAAAACTGACTTTTGTTTTAATATTGGAGAAAAGACAGGACAAGCTGTGGATGTGTCGCAAGGAAGTAACAGTGCTGATGCTTTGAAATGCTAGAAATCTCAGATAAAAATATTAGGACTTAAATATATTCATGCTTTAGTGTGTGCTTATGAGCCGGTAATTAGCTATTCATTATGAGGCAGACAACAGTGCCAACGATAGCACTAACAAACCTAAGCCAAAAGCAGAGAAAGTGCATCTTATCTGCTAAATGCATACATTAAATTCATTCAAACCCTGTTCCTTATCAGGAAGGCAAGATACAAATAAATGACTCATTCAAGGTACGGTAAGCTCTACCTGCATTTGAACCATAACATAATGCAGACCAAACTGCAACACATGAATTTGAAACAAGAGGTAGACAGGATTTTTTCCAGTTTCCAGATTTTTGTGTGTGTTCATCTGCCCTCCAATTACACCAGTAATATTTCCAAGTACAATTACACCAGTAATATTTCTAAGTACAACTGAACTCCTCCATATTTATTTTGGTGAGAATATTAAGCCAGTATAAAAATATCTGACTTCAAGTATTTGTATTATCAAGACGTCTCATTGCAGATGTGATTCCCAAACCACGAGGTTAAAAAGTCAGTCACTACTCCTTAACACAAAGCAGAGGCACTAACTCCGCTTTAACAAAACAGCAAGGTGGCTTGATACTGTCCAACACAGCAGATAAAAACTACATTCCTCCACACACCAGAACGTCTCCTCTTAACCGAGGTACTGAAAGGTTATTTTTTTTTCCAACTTTCCTCATTAAAATTCCATTCAGGATCAGAGAAAACACGTTTATTATAACTGGTTATGTTTATGAAAAGTTTTGGTTTCATAAACCTGCATTTGTCATTAACAAAACAACCAAGGTTGAAAACATTATTGGCCCTACTTGAAGCCTCTGATATGTAAAGGATAGTTTTCTTCTAGTGGAAGAGAAATTAAATGTGTAGAAAGCTTATCTCCCAAAGAAAGTGACACCTTTTTTAATGTGTATACTGGAAAAGTGTATACAGATTCAAAATGCAGCAGACAAATTCAAGGGAGAAAAAAAAATTCCTTCAGAGATTCAGTACTTGGAGTACTGCGTTCAGCTCTGGGGCCCCCAGCACAAGAAGGACATGGATGTATTAGAATGAGTCCAGAAGAGGGCCATGAAAATGACCAAGGGGCTGGAGCACCTCTCACATGAAGACAGGCTGAGGGAGCTGGGGTTCAGCCTGGAGAAGAGAAGGCTCTGGGGAGACCTCATATTGGCCTTCCAGTGCCTAAAGGGGGCCTACAGGAAAGCTGGGCAGGGACTCTGTGTCAGGGAAGATAGTGACAGGACAAGGGGGAATGGCTTTAAACTAAGAGAGGGTAGGTTTAGATTAAATATTCAGAAGAAATTCTTCACCCAGAGGTGGTGAGGCACTGGCACAGGCTGCCCACAGAAGCTGTGGATGCCCCGTCCCTGGAGGTGTTCAAGGCCAGGCTGGATGGGGCTTTGGGTCTGGTGGGAGGTGTCCCTGCCCATGGCAGGGGGTTGGAACCGGGTGGTCTTCCAAGGTCTCCTCCAACCTAAACCATTCTGTGATTCTAAGATTATTAAATCTGTAGCTCACGAACTGCCCCCCGGCTGCAAGCTGATGGCATCTGAGAGACTGCTCTGTGAGGGGCTGCCCATCTTCTTTCTAGGCATGTGCTCTTTGCCTACAAGTGTCCAAGAAGTTGGTGAAGAACCTTGGAGGGCTAATGACAGAGAAATACCATGAAAATGGGAAATGAGTCTGATCCCTTATTAACAGGCAAAACACTAAAACATACATACGTGCCAGCCAGCTTTTGTGCAAGAGATGAGAAATAACTCAAGGACCTATTTCACAGTAACCTATTTCAAGTTAACTGAGTTATGCAATATAAGCTGAGAAAATTGAAGGTGTGGAAAATTTGAAATAGGTGATCGTATTTAATGGAAATGAAAGTAAGTGAGCAAATGAAGATCAAATGAGGATAACTTTGTTAATATGTATAGAAGGCTTCAGAAAAACTGAGGACTGTGGCAATCCTAGCATAAAGAGCATCTAAACAGAAACGGGTATCAGGTCACTCCATGACATTTTCCAGCGCCTTTTTCTGGCACTGTCCCCAAATTGTGAATGCCTGTATTTCACAATCATTGTTGCTTAACACAAAACAGAAACTAAGTCCAGGCTATACAAGAATCCTGCATACACTGACATTTGAACAAACATTCATTATGTTGTGCAGCAATCAGAATTCAAAAAAGTGTCAGTCTGTTTGATAAAGATCTCAGCTTGTCTGTTTACAGATATATTACTTTTTAAGTGAAATTTGCATGTTGTTCTTTTTTTTCCCTCAGCCTTATTACTATTGTTTCAGAGAAAAGTAAATAACGTGGAAGAACCGCAATACATGGTATTCTATTTGATACACATTTTAATTTAACGTGGAATGCTAATGTATTTCTGTAGCGTATAATATTGATATTATTCATTCAAATTTAGACTTTTACCTCACATGAACTACTTCATTCAAAACACTAAAAAATGCAGCACTTGAAAAAAAATTTTATACCCATAGTCCATCAAAAAGGTACTTTATGATGCCGTGTACAGAGTGTTAACACTTAATGAAGTCTGAAGCACCCCATCCTGTTTCAAACTGCTCAGAACATACGCAACTGTTGAAAAGCATCCCTAGGCTTCACCTGTACCATTTAGGAGTACAAATTAATCAACATCTGATTTCTTTTTTACAGACCATCAAAGTGCACAATATGCTCTTCTCAAAATGTAAATTTGGGAAAAACATTTCCACAAAACTTCAAAATGATAAAAAAATAAAGCAAACAAACAAACAAAAAACCACAAACAAACAAAAAAACATGGGGACAAAAATTTTAAACTCATGTGTTTCCAGAGACGTTAGAGAGCTCGGAAGTCCTCCTAAGGAGGTTACTCTTTTATCAGACTTTAGGATCACCAACTCTAAAAATTTCCCTTCTAAACTGCAATAGCGTTCAGCTTGGTTTTAAATTGGAGTTTTATTTCAACCAGTTCCATACACACAGCACTCACAGAAGAGAGCCACCAAGCACAACCAAGAGAATGGTACTGAAACAACTTTTCTTTCTAACTTTGAGCTGAATATGGCTCTTGGAAAATGCAAAAAGTTTCCTCCCCATTTCCATCTTGTTCCAGACATACCAGAATTTGATTGTAAACTGTTTTGGAGACCTGGTACAGCACATCCTTGATTTTGAAACTCAGGCAGGTCTGATCACAAAAGACTAAGTCTAAAGCTGAAGTAAAAGAGTTAAATGTCTCCTGTATTGCCAACTACTCATCTATGAAACATGTTACTTTCTTCTTCTAAAAACCTTGCTGGAGTTTGGGAGGAGACCAAATGCTATGTGACAGACACTAAACATTCATCACTGATAAGGAAATACAAAAGCACAGAAACAAAAGTGGAGAACGAGGCCAATACATGATTCAGACAAGGTGGTCCAGACAACTATTTTTAGCAAAGAAGAATACTTTGGCTCTATCCTGGTATTATATTACTAAGCTGTACAACATTAAAAACCAATTCTGGAAAGTAAAGAATAACTACTGTGTCAGCAGCACTTTTCAGGCTGAGGTCCTGACCAAGCAGGAGTATGTCAGACCATTTGTGTCCAGCAGTTCACCAGTAAAATGCAGCAAGGACATCAGGAACTTAAGAGGTAGAAAAAAAAGAAAAAAAGAGTTGTTTTGGGTGTGGATTGGGCTGATCTCTTTGGGATCACACAGAGCAATCCATTTTAAAATACAGCCTTGCACACCTAGGAAATAAATTTGTAGGATAAAGTTGTACTCTATAAAATCACTGACTCTCCTGTTGTCTTCTACTTTCATGCTACAAATGCTCATAAAGTAAGACTAACTAGAGGAAAGAATTTCCTTTATTTAGATTAATTTCAAACACACATCAGAAAGCTAAAATGACAGACTGGAAAAGAAAAATGTTAGCATAGAGGGAGTGAGATGAAGTCTCTAAGGCTTTAACTATGCACATTTAAACAGCAGAAAACAGTGTTAGTCATTATTTTCTCATGCTCCAAAGCACAGCAGGCACTTCATGAAAAGATTAGAAGTTTTCCTACGCAACCAGAAATACGTATAGTAAAAAGGCAAACTGCTTTCAAAGAAGCCATGGAAGCATGATAAGTAGGTATTCATAAATGCTGTCTCTTCCTTTTGTTATTTTACTGATGTATATTTCTCTCTCATTTTCCATATTGGAGAAAATCCACAAAGGGGCCATCAGTATGACATGTATGCAGCAGCAGAGGACTGTGTTTTTCGAGCCTTTCACACCTTCAGTCTTTTACCATTCTGTATGTTGAGCTATAAGCCACCAATTATTATCACTTAATTCTCTCACGGAGAATAATGTGAGAATATTCTTTCTGTGATGGCATTAGGTTTATGCTCTATGTCGTGCATGCTCTTTGCACTCAGCTGTGTCCTCCGTTATTTGCAGAAGAGGACTAAAGCTTCAGCTAGTTGATTATTTGTACCAGTGTCATCTTCTGTGTATCACATGTACAAGCAAATTTGCCTACCATGTAAGAAAGCAGCAATAACAATTGCCCCATCTCCTCTTCTATAGCATCCATGTGTTGACAACTCCAAACCAAACCCTATTTATCTTCAAGCATTCCCTTTTTTCTGCAGTATGTTTCAAATACTACTGATTTCTGAAGCTGCTGACACTAGAGCTCTGTATCTGCACTAACCAGGAAGCTCTCTTCAGTGTGACAGACACACAGTCCCTGCATTTGCAGGTTACCCATTCAAAGAATTACCATTACCATACAAAGAATTGTGAGCATCACAAACAGAAAAGGTTTCTGGTAACTCTTTTAAGTTCTTCCAATTATTTTATTTCTAAATGTCTAGTCATCCCCTCTGTCAGACCTGATAATAGTTTGTGTGGATCTGCTGTATGCACAAAATAGTATGCATAAAGCACCAACACTGTCTATCCTTTCAGGATTTCATGCATTTCTCATACAACAGTACAAATATAGATTAGTTGTGGGGGGTACTTTATACTTTTTTTTTTTTTTTTTGAGCAGGGAGGAAGAAGGTGGAGTTAGCACGAATGCTTTTACATGTTTTACAGTAGAGTTTACAGTGACCATTTTTTTTTTTTTTAATACCATTCTATTGCTACACACACTCTGCAAGGACTCAACTTTGCTCTTAAACTGTGCTACCCATTTCCAAAAACTGCAATAAACTGTGTTACAAAATGGCAATAAACTTTTGAAGATGCACTGTCAGCTTGAGTTAACTTTTACAAATAAATGTACTTAAAATTTCCAGATTCTAATAAAGGATCTTTAAATACTATGTACTTTTTTTTTTCTTTGAACAATATTTCAAGGAAATTTAATGAGAATTTTCTGCTCTCTTGCTGTTGCTTAGAAGAAATTTCTATAAAGAGAACAAAGTAAAATTGATGACATGCTGCTTTGCTTACATACAATGAACAAATTGAAAGAGATAATTCTGACTTTCAATTTAGTGCATTTATAATAACCTTAAGTGATACTAATTAACTACATTAGTTACATTTTCAAACATTCTCTAGAGTACTTCATTGCTCTGTGAACTGCTTTCCTTGAATTACAGAATGATTTTTCATTATGATGATGCTCAGAGCAAGATTTTATAATTTTTTTCTGAAAAAGTTATGTCCCCAGGGCACCCAAGAGCAGATTTTGAAGAATGCAGTTCCAATGTTGGCCATGACAATACTCAAGATTTACAGCAGTAGAGGCAATAGCAGAATTTTCTGAAATCTCCTTCCATGGTACCACCATTGAAAGTGAAGAGGGAACAGAATTTATTAACTAAACTAGCCCCCATATTTGCCTCTAACTAAACTAAACTCACCATTTTTTAAATCTGTTATCTTGCCCATTAAACATTTACCTCTGAAGACCAACACATTTTGTAGCTGTCCAGTTTGCAACATCAAAACAACACAAAAAGATGAAACGCTCTCACCCAAACCTGGAGACTCAAGACAGTCCACCTCCTAAAAATTTCAAATGCTTTTGGAATTTTATTTATTTACATTTGTATCCTGCATCCCTAAAACTGTAACAAGTGCTAAGGTACAGACAATTTTATCTTCTGCCTGCAAGGAAGAACAGCAGCACACACAAGGCAGTTGTCGTACAGGGCTCATGAGAGGGTGCTCTTTTCTTGCTTCATCACTCTTTCAGGTAACGCAGCCCTCCCCTCGGCTTCCATAATTTACCACACTGCCCACAGCAGCCTGCCCATGCATTATAGTCGTGCTGAGAGAGAACACTCGCTGCCCACGTCAGGCATGTGCAATGCGCAGGAGAGCAGAGGAGAGCCAGCAGCAACTCAACCACTGCCTGCGCTGGGGCCTAGACCCACCATGAAGCCTACAGGGGAAGCAGGCACCCCACTGAACAATGAAGAGGTCATTTTGGTTACCTCAAGTGCTTCACATAGGCCAGAGGAAGAGCTTCACAGAAATGTCTGAGGTTTAATTTGTTCACCTCAGGTTTCAGTCCCCAAACTAAAGATTGTAATAATCAAAAATAACCAGCCTCAGCATAAGTGATAGCAATGGCACCTGAGGCAGACTGCTTGTCGTGTAGGGATTTTCCCTTTGTTCTTTGCTCTTGTGACTCCTTCAAAAGGTCACACTGAAACACTACTCTTGTAATGCTGTTGGAGTGGTTTTTTTTGGTTGTTGTTGTTTGCTTGTTTTTTTTTGAGGAGGAGAAGAAAATCTTTTCTACCCATACAGCAAAGATGTATCTCTGCTCACAAAATGCTGCAGGAAAATTTGCCTTATTAGCTCTCCAAGTGGCTGTGTTTTCCATTGAAATATCAACTTTCTTTGGCATCTCACAACCACCTCTGGCTTTGGGGTAGACCCACAGAAATTACTGCTTGTGTTAGTCTCCTGAGAGTGGCTAAGCAAACACTAATTACTGCAAGAAAAGCAGGGGGAAGAACGAAGCACCAGACACTACAAGCTGCTACACACCTCTTCCTCAACCATCAGAATATACTAATAGACAGTTAAAACAGACTACTATATCAGACCAAGATGAGCAGTTTTACAGGGATGCAGACTAACTATTGCAAGCCCCAGATGTACAGACCCTGATTTATCGGCAGGCAACTACATATCCTAATCTGATATTATTACTTTCCACAATTTCTTGACTGCACTGTGGCCACTCATATCATGGTTTGCTATAGTTTCATCAATAGCATTGAAGATATTTTAAAAACTCTTCCTCTATAAATATGCCAGTTCCTTTCTGTCTAAGCAGAATGGATGAGAAGATGGAAGAGCTCCCACAGTGAAGAAAGGTATCTCAAAACTACCCTTCCAATACAACTTGACATTGATAGCATCTTAATTACAAGGAGAATGTTTCTCTCTCTTCCAATGGAAAAAGGACACACATACAGAAAAGGGTTCCCAAACTCCAGCAGATGCTTTGCTACCTACGCAAACATAATACGCTTATGAATGCAGGATCTCTGAATTTGATGAATCATTTGTCTTCTGAACCTAGAAAAGGAGACACTAATATCTGTAAGTATCCTACTAACAATGGAGGGCTCCAAAAAAGAGCTAATCAAAGCCTTACCTTCCTTGTACTGTGGTCTTCTGTTCCACGCCGTTGGGTAGAATAACTGTGAAGTCCACCGATCTGTTTATCATATTCTCCTTCATGCTCACAAGGTTCTGATCAGAAATTACTGCTGTCTCTGCAGATGACTTGTGTTCGTTGTTAATTCTACTGGCTGCAGAAGGTTGATTTGGTGGAGGAGGAGCGCGAGCTTTCATTCTTCTCCTTAAGAGAAATAAGGTGAAAAGAAAACAAATTATCATGAGCAAGTTACAAACTTAATAGTTTATCATGATCAAGTTAATAAAAAAAAAAAACATTCTTTAAGCCATAATCTCAGATTATTTTTACAAAGCTCCTACAGCATGAGCCATTTTTCTTTACCGTAAAACTTCAATGGAGCTGCATTTTATTTTTACCTCTTCCTCTCTAAAAATACACTAATTTTTTAATGATGCATTCACTCCTACTGCTTGCTTTCCACACCCCAGGGTATGAATCAGTTCCATAATTAGGATATGAAGTAATCATTCTTCTGTTGAGTATGAAGCATGTTTCTATGAAGAGAGAATCAGAAATACTGGGTCCAGTCCAGACCTGACTCAATAAAAGAGTTGTATTTATGTAAATTAATGTTTTCTCCAAGCCAGAGAAGCAGGAGGGGAGGTAGGGTGAGCTTTCATTCAGCTGTGTTTGGGTTCCATAATATTACTCTAGTTAAAATATTGTCTCTGCCTTACTGAGCAGTATTAAATTTGGTTTATCATACTTGATAGGAAAGGGCCATGAAAAGGTCAACCATGAGTGATACCACTTCTTACCATGCCACACAGAGAGCTCTCTGAAAGCACCCTGAGGAGAGCTTGCTCTCCAGCTTTTCTGTACGAGTGGCATACAGAAAAGCTGCATCGACTTGCACCATGTACTTTGCAGGGAGATAAAACCACCACAAACTCAAAGTTTCCTTCATTGGCAAGCAGCATGGTTGATAAGCAACATATGTGTGCCGTTAACTTCTGAATAGCTGGCCTCATACCAAGCACATGTTTAAGAGGATTTATTCGGATGACTAATATCTCAGTGACCTCTTCTGACTAGATGTATGCCTAGTTTAAGTCAGATTTCAACGCAACAGATGGAAAAGACAGTAAAATATTTACTGAGAAATTATTACTCAGGCTTACTGACTGAATTTTTTTAATCTGTTGTTAGGGTAGAAGAAGCGAACAGATTATGATTCTGCACATCAATTTCACCCTGCAAAGAACATAAGCAGAGATCCAGAAGAAAGACTACAGAAAGAGTACTCTAACTCTTAGAAACCTGCAAAGCTTAGTGGTTCAATCAGACAAGGACAAAATTATGTTCAGGAAAACATGCATTTTAAAAACTGAACAGGATTAATACCAGACCAGCACTTCTTTAATTGAAGACAATGTGTGTTCTCACTGATAAAAGGACTAAGCATACAGACTGGATTACCAGCCTAAGTTCCTGGCAGAGAGCAGAGGAAGAGCTCCATCACAAAACAGTTCAGAAACAATCCAACTCCTCTATACTTTTTAATCAGTATTTGTGTTTGACCACTAATTTCTGTGACATGTTTCAACTTGCAAAAAAATCACTATGCTGCCTTGAAAGTGTGTTTCAGTGAGAGCACATCAGGGTGCTGTAGGATGAGCTATGCAGGTACTTCCATTCATCCACTACATGCATAACAAATAGCATTCCTTACAAATAAGCAGGGAGAGCTACTGCCATCTTTACTAGCACACAACAATTTTTCTTCTACGGGAAATTTTCCCTGGACTTTCACTTGTTATCCTATATACACCCAGTGAGTCATGCAGGCATCAGCTACTAACCTGGAGCTTCTACTTTCCTCCCCACGGAGGTGATAAGAAGCTCAAGGCTTTACTGTTTGGCAAACCACCTTTGCTTTCTATACCTCCCAGAAAGAAACTCCTAATTTATTCACTTGCCTATAAAGAAGGAAAAAAAAAAAGAAAAAAAAAAAAAAAGAAGGAAAGAAACTGGGTTCACCTCATGCTAAGATCCCTTTACGTCCAGCTACAGTTGTTACTCATAAGCAGGTGGTGAGTGACATGGCAGTTTTACATAAATCCATTTCTCGCCAACGTAGTCTTCAATATAACTCAGCGTAGCAAGTGCAACACTGAAGGACTTCAGATCAATTTACAAACTACATAACTCTTGCCCTCCATAACACCAACTGCATTAATATACACAGCTTATTCACAGCTTTACACAAAATCATTTTTGAAATCAAAGCTTGTTTTTGTTTTTTAAGGCTTTCCTATAATGTCAGGGACCATCTCCAACACAGTGTTGCTAACAGTGAACCACAGGAGTGGGAATAAAAGCAGCAGCAGGTGTAGTGAACCTTGCATGACCGTTTTTGTTTGTTTGAATTATGATTTACCTGGACTTGTAAATTCTACATCTCAGGGCAAAGAGAGGAAAGAAAGCAATCGTAATAAAACAAGCATGAAACTGAAAGCAGCTGAAACTGAAACCAGTGGAGAAGTAAAGAACAACCGAGTTTTGAAGCTGATGAAGGAGCTGGAAGTGAATTGGGAGTGTGCTACACGCGTGACTGTTGCTTTGCAATGACATAAAGGTGCATCTACTTTTCTGAAGGAACAAACAAGCAAGGCCTGACACCTTAATGTCAATTTATAGATCCGAAATGGGAGGACAATCTTTATTTGACTGCTTTTTAAGTACTCTTTACGTCTCCTGCTACATCTACAGACCTCGCACAAGGCTGCTGGCAGGGGGAAGCCAGGCATCACACCACCACCAGCTTCAGCCATATGCTGACCAGTGATGCTCCCTTTGCCTCCACAAAGTATGTAACAACATGCATTGGTTTTGGCGTTAGGCAGTCAGGACCCTTCTCATGTTATAGCTCTCGTCTTCCGCTCAGAAAGGACGGCGCAAATCCATTTCCTTCACAGAAACTAGAGAAAAGAAAAGGGAAGCATTCCCACTACAGCCCTGTTAATCCACCAATAGGTCAGGCGACCTCGTGAACTTCTCCACAACAGTGACCATATATTCTCTTGAGACACTCTAACTGCTTAAAATGCCAGCCTTTCAGCCTTTTCCCCAGTGACAAATCTCAAATTATTCCCCTTGAAGCAGATCCCTTTCAGGTTCACGATTTTACTGTGATACATGGCACAGATTTGCACTTCTCAGTCGACCTTCTGCAACATCTTGGTGGCAGAAAGCAGCTCCATGAGCCACAGACTGCAAACCACAACTCAATCTCGCCCTGGGATGTGCACAGAGCGGCTGCTGCCCGCCCGTGCCCTGCAACCACAGCCTGACCGAGCGGAGCAGCCTGGCAGCACTGCACAATGCTGGCCAGAAAAAGAAACCATCTTTCTCCAGCACAGCTACGATGATTACAAAGGACAACACAAAAGCACTCCGTAATGAAAGATTTTTTGTTCCCCCACTAGAATAACGCACATAGAAAGAGCATGATTTAAAAGACAGTTTTAAACAGGCTTGTTTTCCATGCTACAAACACAACATAATAATAAAAAAGGCAAAAATACCATACCTTAGTCTGAGCTAAATTCTAACTAGATTTAGCTCAACAGCGAGTTTTGTCCAGAAACACCTTTCCCTGTGCTCAGCACCGAGACACTTGCTAAGCTCCCAGCTGCCGTTAGCCTGCTGCTGAAGTCGCGAGCGAGAACACCTCACGCCTCTGATTCACCCACGGTCACACCACGGCTTCCACCTGGCCCCAGATAATGAGACAAAGCAAGAACAAGCGGCTGATCCTAACACATACATGTACAATAGCTTTTAACGAGGATTCATCTTCATAATTCATAATTTATCTCATTTTCTTCCGAGCTGACAAAACGCATGTTGCCATGAAATGACCAGGTAGAACAGGAAAACAACCTACCAGCACTGTTCTCATCAGGCTTCCCAACACAGGAAGGGAAAAACAACAAGCAAACTGAGCAACAAGACCAGCTTTTCTGTAGCACAGCCTGTAGAAGAAAAGCAATAGAAACAAAGAAAAGTTTCACCAGATTAAGGAACTTCAAGACGAGCCCTTTGGACCTACACTTTATTAATATATAACTACCAAGCAACAGGATCCAACCTTGAATTTACAATCCCATGCTGAAAAAACATGCTCTCTTTCTAACCAATGTGGTCCTGGGACTTCTACCCTCATGGCAATGCTATTCAGGTTGTCTCCTTCAGATAAGGTCTAAGATGCAGAGGGAAAAAAAAAAAAAAAGACTTTATTGATTGCCAGGTGATTGCAGGCCTACATGCACAGCTACAAACCCATCCATGAGGCACACCTCATACTTCAGACCATCAAAACACAGATGGTATGGCAGGAGGACCTTCTGCCCAGTGATCCAGCAGGCAAAGCAGACATCCTTCAAAGAACTCTGTCACTCTTCATTGCTCATGGCAAAGTACCTAAGTCACAGACTGGGAAAGAGACCCCCTCTAACACGAGTAATGGTATGCCAAGTTCCTTCTTCCGAGTAGAGTTCTTTCACCTTGTAGACACGGCAGTTCAGAAAAATTGTCATTTCAACACAGATGTGAAGTAAATAAAAACAGATTAGAACCAAAATAAAGCTGCATCAAAAATTCTGAAATGGAAAACAAAAAATGAAACAAATCCCACGACGACATAAAACAAGGAAATGAGATTATGCAGCAAGAAAATGAGATTATGATGATGTCCATAGCTACTACAGGAGTTCATCCAGACAGTCCTACGTTGTAAGCTAGAACCCCCTTCCACTTTGCCATCAGTAACATTTAAACTAACTAAACTGAGGTTTTATTTGCTCTTTATCTGAAAAAAAAAATAAATATGAAACAGCTTTCTCAACTTCACTCAGTCTGCCACAGGCACTCACAACGTGCAACATAGGCAGCTTATGTCCTTAAATGCCTCATACGTAGACAATAAATTACAGGTCTAAAATATACGACTCCTACAGTAACTTATTTCCAGTATCCTTTTACATTCCCTAATGATTTATAATGTCACAAAAACATTACACTTGCTACACAGCTGAAATTTTCAGCAGAGACTAAGATCTAATTAACTGGATTACTCCCATGCTGATAGAGCTCTGGGAAAAATTAGCACTGCCTGATACTTTATTTCCCCACTTTTAAGAATTCTTTGTCTTTTAAAC